CGGGCATCCATCAGTCTGTTAATTGCACTAATTAGAGATCGCGGAGGTGTTAATTGGAAAACCCTGGTATTGTGCCTGTTTGGGGAAGAAAACGTCAATAAAAATTAATTGATGAGTTGGCAGGGCGGGCGGCGCGGGTTCTCGGCGAGGCGAAGGGTGTCGTGGCAAATGTTACGGCTCAGATTAAGCGATTGTTAATTAAAAAGCTACGGTAATTAATACTCGCTACGCCATATGGGCCCGCGAAAAGGCACAAAAGGTTTCTCCGCGTGTGGGGCGCCCTGTCTCCCCCTCCCCTCAAAGCACCCCAGCCCTTGGGTTCCCCCAACCTGTGGCCCCAAGATAGGTGGAACTCATCACTTCCGGCCTGGGAGGGGATCAGGCGGGCCATGGGAGTTCCAAGGGCGTCCCTCGTTTTTAGCGAGCAGGCACGCCCGGGTTCCTCAAAGAGCCTGGAGCCTCAGGGGAGGTGAGAGCCCCCAGCGCCCCCTGACTCCTCCAGAGCGGTAGAGGCGGCCTCTGCTTTGACCTGACTTTCTCCTGAGAGCCTCTGGCCTGGCCAACAACACTCTTGTCCCCCTACCGGGAACCCTGAGGAATGGGAGATTAGGACCTGCCAAAGTGCAGGACCCAGCCCCAGAAAGAAATCCTGGGCCACCCAAAATAATTCGGCCTCCAGTGCACCCCAACATGTGGCAGGAGAGGAGTCTGGGAAGTCTGGGGTGGGGGATGAGAAGCCCGGTTTTAGAGAACCCTAGAAAGACCTCTGATCCTCCTCCTCCTTGTATGGCGGGAGAAGAGCAGCCCAGTGACTTAGATGTGAGGCAGTGTCTTGACCAAGGTCACGCAGCTGGGCCTTGAAACCAGGTGGTCTAATTCTCAGAGCTTCTGCCCTTCGCTAATGCAGGTGCTCAGCTGCTCCTTGCTGAGCAACTAGGTGACTGGGAGGAGCAAGGACTGGGAGGGGAGCGGTGTTTGGGGAAGGAACAAGGAAGGGAGTGAAGGGGGGAGGGGCTCTTGCAGGGTGCACCCTCAGTACTGAGCAAGCAGCTCAGGTCTACACCGGGTGGAGCTCTTTGGGAAAGGGACCACAGTTGTGATGCTAATGGACCTTCAGTGGCTCCCAACAGCCACTGAAATACTGTGGCTTCATGTCCACTTGCTGGACTAGGGAGTTTTGCTCCTGGAGCTCCAAGTCAGAAGAGACCTTCAAGACCACCCCCCACCATGTAGAGAGGGGAAAATTGAGGCCCAGAGAAAGAGGAAGGCAAAGGATTCACAGCTAGTTTGTGGTGGAGCCCAGACCCCTGCCTTCTCTCGTAGCCAGGGTGCAGGCTGCCATGGACACTGGCTTCCTTCCCGACACCTTTGTTTTTACAGAGCACTGATATCAAGGCCTGCCCCCAGCACCCTACCCTGTCCTGTCCCTAGCCGGCTGGGCCCCAGGCACTCAGAGCTGGCTCACCCACAGTGCAGGGAACACTCCAGTGCAGTTGCAACACCTTATGGAAAGGTGAGCAGGAGGTGTGAGGCTGCTGGTATGCTCATTCTTGGAGGGCAGGTGTCCCAGGGCAGAGGTGAGAACTTGGAGAGGGTTGGGAGTGCCTGTCCTGCAGGTTTGGGGGTGTGTCGGTGGGTGGGTAGGAGTGTGGAAGGAGGTGTATGGGTATATGTCATCAGCAAAGGCCGGGGAGGGGGCAGAGTATGCCACATGGGAATTAATGCCATTCATACACCCTGCGGAAATGACTTTTCAAATGCATATAATCTCAAGCATGCAAATGAGAGGCTTGCTTCACCCTGTTTAATATGAATGATCGGCCCTTGAATAGCTATTATTACACACCACATTGCAGCAATTATGTTGTTCACTGGGTATCGCTTTGTACACCCCCCCAAATTAAAAAGAAAAGAAAGGGACACCTCTGTCTGCATCCTCCTTCTCCCTTTTTTCTCTTTTTCCAAACTTGCTATCTGATCTACAACTTTATGGTATTCCTGTGTGTCAGAAGGGAGGCTCTCCCTTACCCCTAGGAAATAACTGCCAGATTCTCTTTCCTTTCTCTTGTGAGTGCATACACCCCAGAGGCTCTGGTCTTTGTCCCCTGGGGCCCAGGAGTTCTCAGATCTCAGAGGAGCTAGACTTGGAATCAGGGCAGGCAGCTGCTCTCTACCCCCAGCAGGGCCAGGGTTGGGGGAGAGGGAGAGCAGAGCGGGCCTGCTGTCTCCGTACCCCCTCGTGTAGCTGAGACCCAGGCCCGCCTCGAGTGGGGGAAGGTGCTTCTGTTCGCTCCTGGGTGGCTGGTTTCAGGGAAGGGGCTAGAGCCCTGTGCTCTGGCCTCAGCCTTGGTGCCCACCCCATTCATCATTTCGCAGCCACTCGCCCTCAGGCTGACACGGCCATTAAGTCCTGAGACCGAGTGCTCAATCTCTTCCGAACCATCACTCCCATCCTGCGTGCACCCAGGCCCTGCTCCTCTCAGAACCCCGGAGTGGAGTGGCAGCTGAGGGAGTGAGCAGAGCAAGACCTTGGGAACACATGGGGAAACTCGGAAACACGGGCACCCAGGAGGCCACAGACTCACTGGGACAGGAATACCCCAAGTCCCCAGAGTCCCCAGGAACAGTGATGTGGCTCCCCATGGACCCTTAGCAGCTCTTTATCCTCCACCTCCTTCCCTCTCTGTCCCAGCAGGAATAAAAGCTGAGCAAATGGCCCAGTAGAGTGAGGGAAAAGAGCCCTTTGGGAGTAAAGGAGAGAATTTGAGAGTTGGAGGGAGATGCTTTTGGAGCCGCTTCCTTGGAGAAAGAACTAGGGAAATAACAATCCAGTCTCTTCCTGCAGGTCTCCAATCTGCTACCTGCCAGGCCCTCGTCCACCAAGTGGGTCAGCGCGGCCATGTGGTTGTAGGGTCTGCCTTGGCCAAAGGGGATCAAACAGGGAGGAAAGAACACTGGCTGGCTTCCCTGGGCCTTTCTGGATGCTCCTGTGGCTCTACCCCTTGGTGACCTCTGAGTGACCTGGGCCAAGTTCTTGGCCTCTCTGAGCCTCAGGGGCTTCACCCTTACAAGTAGGGTAGGTGGAGAAGGAGCTAATCAGTACTGGGGGCTTGCTCTGCCAGGTGCCTTGTACGTACTTTCAGTTTATTCCTCGAAGGACTCAAGAGGCTGGGATTAAATATAGTTGGCCCTCTGTATCCTCGTGTTCCACATCCATTGATTCAACCAACCACAGACTAAAGGTACTGTATAGTATTTTTGGGATGCGGAACCCACAGGTACAGGGGCCAACTTCTGTGTCACAGGTTCTGCAGGGCCAATTTTGAGGCTTGAGCATCCTTGGATTATGGTTTCCAGGGGGGTCCTGGAACCCCTCCTCTGTAGATATGGAGGAATATTTTACTGCCACAGACAAGGAAACTGAGGTTTAGGGACTTTAAGATGTGTCAAAAGTTTGGCCAGGCGCGGTGGCTCACGCCTGTAATCCTAGCAGTCTGGGAGGCTGAGGCGGGCAGATTGTTTGAGCTCAGGAGTTTGAGACCAGCCTGAGCAAGAGCGAGACCCCGTCTCTACTAAAAATAGAAAGAAATGAATCGGACAACTAAAAATATATAGAAAAAAAAATTCACCAGGCATGGTGGCACATGCCTGTAGTCCCAGCTACTCGGGAGGCTGAGGCAGTAGGATCACTTGAGCCCAGGAGTTTGAGGTTGCTGTGAGCTAGGATGACGCCACGGCACTCTAACCCAGGCAAGAGAGTGAGACTCTGTCTCAAAAAAAAAAAGATGTGTCAAAAGTCAGTGGTGGATTCCAGCCATGGCTCGTGTGACAGAAATCTACGTTCCTCTCAGGTGACTGTAGCTCTGGGGGTAGTTGGGGACCCCCTCCAGAATTTGAGAACAGCTTTGCATAAAGTACCCCATCACCATCGTGGAACCTCCGTGAGCTGTGTGCAGCAGCTCGGACCACCCTCTCCTCCTCTCTATTGCCCTTGAATGTCCCAGACACACCCTGTCTTGCTGGGGATGTTCCAGCCACTCCTTGGGAGGTATTTCCAGGGTGGGGAGATTCAGACCCTGACTCTCTGCCTTGGGTAAGTAACCCAACTCTCTAGACCCTCCATTTTTCCATCTGTAAAACGGGTGTGACAGCTGTCTCCCACAGTGCTTGTGCAGAGGACTCATGGTGCCTGTAGAGAGGGAGTAGACAGTATTGAGGGTCTGCTTTTGGGCAGGCACTGACTGGGCTGAGGGCTTTAAAACAGAAGATGGAAAGTGGGACCAGGGCATCCTTTATCGGATGCCTCCCGCCCAGCTGAATGGCTCCCAGGAGGTGCTGGGCCAGTGGCTGCCATTTAAACTGTAGAACAAACATTGATTAGGGCCTTTTGTGGCCTGGGGAAGGACGCTCTGCCCTGGGGAACAAACACAAAACCCATTACAGGTGGAGGGAAGGGGCAGCAATATGGTGGGTCCCTAGTGAATAACTCTCCTGCCTTTGCCTCATTGGCATAGGACTTCCCCCCCTCCCCTACCAGCCGATCCCTCTCTCTCTTCCCTTAGCACCCTGGCCAGAAGGCAGAGTCCAGAACAGGTTTAGGACCCTGATGGGCAGTGCAGGACCTTCATCCCTTCCCCATCCCAGCCCAGGTCTCCTGGAAGTGGAGGAAATGTAGGGGAGGAGCATGGGAGGCTTCAGCTTCAGTCAGGAGCTGCTGTTTACCCAGGCCTAGGGGAGGGGTGACGTTGGGAGGGGCCACACCCCATGAGGGGTCCCAGAGAGCAGCCTGTGGAAAGTTGAGGAGGAGATGCTGCAGGACTGCAGATGGGGGTGAGGGGAGTGGGGTGTCCAGTGATGGGGGGAGATGCGCCAGGACTGGGGATGGGTGGGGGGGACGGACGTCAGGTGTCCGGTGGTGACTGTAATATTGGGGGGCTTTGGTTGCTGCCCGTCCAGCCTCGAGCCTTGGCTCCTCCCCCATGTCTCTCCTCCTCCTCCAGGTCCCGCTAGAGCGACATGATGGTGGAGTCCGCCTCGGAGACAATCAGGTCGGCTCCGTCTGGTCAGAATGGCGTGGGCAGCCTCTCTGGGCAAGCTGATGGCGGCAGCGGCGGGGCCACTGGCACGGCCGCAGGCTGCACGGGCAGGGATGTAGCCACTGGTGCAGACAGCAACGGTGAGATGAGTCCTGCGGAGCTGCTGCACTTCCAGCAGCAACAGGTAGGAGCTGGCGCCCCTCCTGGGCGTCTGGGGAGGGGAAGAGGGGACACCAGGCCTCGTCCCACTCCATCCTGGCCACCTGGGCACCACTGCTCCCTGCCAGGCAGCCTCACTTGAACATTCTTAAGACTGGCCAGCCTCCAAGCGCTCTGTCTGCACCCTCCCATTCTGGTGGCCAGTTTGAGCCTGGGTTAACGCAGCATTTTCAAGAGAGAGAAGTGGAACTGGGGTGGGGGTGGGCTGAGATCATGGAGCTTGGGATGGTCCCAGAAATGCTGTAAGAAGAGACAGATGCCTGGGCAGCAGGCTTGAGAGTCTGCGTGTTGAATGGGTGGGCACCTCTGCTCTCCGCCTGCACACTGGCTAGGAAACTGGCCAAATTAACAGGGTTGAGGGGGTGCTGTGCACACAGGGGTGTCTTCACTTTATTTGTATTGTAAAACATTCCCACCTCCACGTCCGCCTGGGCGCCAGATCCAAGCTGTGAAGAGATTAAACTTCCATGCACTAGGGGCCGAAGCAGTTGGGAGAAGGCCAAGGGAGGTAGGCAAAGGCAGGCCTCCATTCTTAGGGCTCAGACTAGAACTCCCGGCTGTGTCCCCCTACCCTGTCCCACCCCTGTCATCCCCACCCTAAGTGCAGCGTTCAGGAGTTCAAGACCAGCCTCTTTGAGGATCGAGAGGCAGGAGGATAGGGAGCCTGGTTAGGTGATGACAGAGCAGGGGCCCCAGGTCCTGGCCCCACCCAGGGGAGAAGGGAGAATCATGCTTGACAAGTTCAGGGGAACCGGCCCAGCCAGCCCTGGCTTTGGGATTTTCTCTCTTACTTGATTCTGCTCCTGGAATCGCTGCTGGTGGTGCTGGCCCTCGGGGGCTCTGCTGGGAACGTGGAAAAGCAGGGTCCTGCATGTACATCCTTGCCTAGTACCCCACCCCTGCCTCGTGTGCACAGATGTCTGTACCTGCTGTGCCCTCCTGCTCCCCTCCAAGGCACTGCCATCTCCCAGGTTCACCCTGGGGCTCCTCCCTCACCCCCACCCCCACTCCATAACCCCTAAGGGCCCTTTCCCACCATATTCCTAGAGCCAGAGGTCAGACTGGAAGCAGCACCATCAGAAGCTCAGCACCCCTGCGCCAAGCTGGCCAGCGAGAACTAGAGCAGGAATTGAAGAAAGCTGATTTAAGTCCCAGCCAGCCTCTTACCAGCGGTGTGACCCTAGCGAAGTCAGGGGCCCCTGTAAGCCCTGGCCTCCTTGGTGCCTAAAGTGTTAGGATCAGATGCAGTTTAGATGTGCAGTCCCTCTACACACTGACTTGTCGATGTGCCTGTGAGCAGAACTGGGGACTTTAAAATCACTTCCTCTTGCTGACAGTGGAGACTAGAGCAGGAAGGGCCTGTCTCCTTCCCCCAGGGAGATGGTCTTTGGGAGTTTGCTGCCATCTCCCAAGCCTTCCTAAGCAAGTTCTCTGGGGAAGCGACCCACAGAGTCTGTGCCCTCTGCTGGAGACAGAAGGTCAAAGGGCAAATCCTACCCTTTATCAAAATAACAGCAAAACACACCCCCTCCAGAAGTCCCCAAGGCCACCCATTTTGTGTGGCCTGCTCTTCCCCTCCTGTGCCGCTATGCAGACGGAGCCATGAAAAATTTAGAATGTGGCAGAGGTGGGGGAGTACCAAAAGTAGAAAGTTTCTTCTAAAAAATTACTTGAAGAGTGAACACAGATCTCTGGATAACTGGGGAGATGTTTGGGGTGGGGAGAGACAGAACTGCCTGTACTGATCAGGTTTCTCGGTTCTGCATTGCACATGAGCCATGTTTTCCCATCCATATTCCACGTTCCAGTTATTCCTGTTTGTTTTGGGGAGTATCCCAAAGTCCTGGAAAATCCTATATCTGTTTCACAAATAAACTGGGGTGGGGATTTGGAGTCAGGCAGAGGGCTGTTTTATCCATTTGGGCTCACTATGGGCATAGTGCCCAGGGCCAGGGAACATATTTGAGACTGTAAAAAAGGTTTTGTTGGCTCCAAACTATGAGAAGAACCTTGCAAAATTAAAATTAAAAATTTTGAATTAAAATGAAACCATCTGTGGGCCATCCCTCCACCCCCAATATACGAGTGAGGTTTTGCGGGGGGCTTCAAGGGTAACATTTTCTGGTACCCAACAACAAGTGTTCCTATTTGTAGGGTTAACAAGTATGGGAAAGAGACCTTGGCCCCTCAGGTTCTTCCTCCCTCTCAGTCGCAACCAGGAAGTCCTTAGAGGACAAACAAATGCCTTTCGTCTGTTTGGTGCTTTAGGTCTTTCGTGTATACTGTGTCATTCACTCACCTCACCATCCCTGGGAGGTCAATGCTATTATTCCCATTTCACAGATGAGGCAGCCAGAAGTAGGCTCCGACTTGTCAAGGCAACACAACAAAAGGCTGCAGTGAGGCCGGGTGCGGTGGCTCGAGCCTGTAATCCTAGCACTTTGGGAGGCTGAGGAGGAAGGATCGCTTGAGGCCAGGAGTTGGAGACCGGCCTGAGCAAGAGCAAGACCCCATCTCTACAAAAATCAGAAAAATTAGCCTGGCATGATGGCGCGTGCCTGTAGTCCCAGCTACTCAGGAGGCTGAGGCAGGAGGATCGCTTGAGCCCAGGAGTTTGAGGTTGCCGTGAGCTATGATGACACCACTGCATTCTACCCAGGTGACAGAGCAGGACTGTCTCCAAAAAAAATAAATAACAGACTGCAGCAAGACCCTAGTCCCTAGTTCAGGGCTCAATGCACCCTCCTTTTTGCGCCACTTACAGAGTTCTTGTGGGAAATGGAGAAGAGAGGGAGCAAGGCCTTGAACATAGTAGGTGCTAAATAAATGTCTGCGGATGACCTTAAAATGATGAAAAAGCAACACTGGCAGGGGCCCTGAATAGCTGCCATAGCACCAACTTCGAACTCTAGGAAGGGAGTTGGGAGAGGGTCTGTGGACCATGCGAGTCCTGTGCTTGTGCCCTCCTTGGTCTCCAAGCCCCCTTGCCCTTTGTCCGTCTCTCTCTCGGTCCCTGTCCCTCTGCTCTGGGTAAACAAGCCCTGGAAATGCAATCCTCGCCTTTGGGAGTAATGAGTTGACAGAGGAGAGAGATAAACAGGGCGAGTCAGAAGTCAGGTCTGCGACAGGACTTTAGGCTGAAACAAACAGTGCTGAAGAGGGCGGCCACGTCACTTTGGAACAAGAGCAGGAGCCGGTTTCTATGCAACGAGCGGGCTGGGAGCTTGTTTAAACAGAGGCTGGGGGGTGACCTGGTATGGCTGCCGGGCCAGGTCTGATTGGAGAGAGGGGGTCGTCGGCTGGCGGCCCCACGTCAGCGTCAAGGCCCCTGTTCCCGGATCCCTCTTCGCAGCCCCATCCTTGGTGGGCGATGGAGCCACACTACCTCCTCTCTGTCCTGGGGGCTTTACCACGTCTGCAGTCTCCTCCCTCGTGGAGAGTCTGCCCTGGGGAGGGTGCTGGGCCTTGGGGCATTCAGTCATTCAGCAAATACGCCTTGAGCCTTCTTCTGCACCAGGCCCGCTGCTGGCCAGCTGGAGCTGGTGCTGCCCAGCCGCTGCTAAAGAATAGACTGTAGATGACCTACTGCCCACTGTCCCTCTCCATCCCCAAGGCAAGTGCTTCTGTCACACTGCCCCACTCCTACATTTTTGCCCTATTATGATGGCTGTTTTTGAAGGTTGCTCTCGTGTTTTATCCTAATCAGACTCCACTGTATGAAAATGTTCCCAGAGTGTGGGGGTTTTCCCCAGGACCCCACACATATCCTTTGGGCTCTCTGATGGGGGGCAGTGAGGCCTGGGAGAAGTGTGCCCCAGATTTTGGGAGGGGAGGTCGTGGGGACTGGTCTGGGCCCACTGGCCAGAAAGAGCTGGACTTGGGGCCAGGAGGGCTGCCTGTGTGGGGCGGGGCAGCCAGAGCTGCTGAGGCCGCACTGAAAGGCGTCCTGGGCCTCTGGTGCGCGCACTCCCATTGTCCACGGGTTGCAGGGGTGACAGGTCAGCAAGGGTCACAGGAGGGTTGCCTAGCGTCTGGGAACTCCCACCGTAGTTGCCGTGGCAACGGGGCCAAATCCCACCCCATTCACATCCTGTGAGGAGATTCAAAAGGGTTGGGGGGCTCTGCATATTAGTGGGCTTTTAGCTCACCCCGCTTCAAAGAGATGGGGGGTGTCAGGGACTTGGGGGAGGGGAGAAGAAGAATGGAAGAGACTTTTCTTTCCCTTTCCTTCCCCATCCGGCCCTCCTCTGCCCAAGCTACTTAGAGGGATAGTGGGGGGGGTGGAGGGGAGGATTCAGGGGTGAATTAGCCCCTGTCTACCTACCCCCGACACACACACACACACACACAGACACACACACACACACACTGTCAACAGCTGTCCTCAGTCTTCAGGACTCCTGCTCCCATGCCCCAGAGTGTACAGTTGGTGACCGGGCCCACACCTTCTGGATTCTCCTTTTCCTGCTGGAGAATGAGCCCCTGCTCTGGAGATGCCGGGGGTGTGGCAGGAGACAAGAGACTTGGGGCCTGTGCTCCCCAGAGGGCAGGCTTAGAGACTGCACACCAGCTCATGGCTCTGCGGGGAAACGCTTAGAAACTGCTCTTCCCTCCTTGGCCCGGACGTGGGGAGAGGAGGCAGGGCCGGGGAGAGGGCCGTAACCATATGCCTTCTTGTATGTCTCCTGGGTCACCGTAAGCCAAAGGCCACCCTGCTTTGTGTATCAGAAATTTCCCCTAGGACAGAGTTGTACTACTACGAGGGGAGAGGAAAGGCCCCAGGGCCTGGGGGAGCGACCTCCAGAGCCCAGCTTTCGTGGGACTAGGAAGGAGCCAGCCTACTCTACTAGCAGGAAAGCCTCCTACCTTCCCTCCTTGTAAGGAATTCTGAAATCCCTCTTTTTTCCCCTCCCTCACCCCCTTTTTATGGCAGAGTTCTCGTCCCTGCTCATTAAGACTTTGGGG